CAAAATGCCCGCCTCGGATCAGACGCTGTGGCTGCTTAAAATCAGCCCAAAACACGATTTTTCATAGACATTTCTGAGCGTTTTGGCCAACTTTGAGACAATACTGCTCCCAAACTAAGACTGATAATTGCACTCCGTAACAAAGGCATGCTAAAGGAAGGTCCAAAGACCAGTTGCCCGTTGAGGGAGCAAAATGCCCGCCTCGGATCAGACGCCGTGGCATGTTAAAGGAGGGGTCCCGTGGGGTCGCGAAATTTTTCCTGGGGGTCGCGGAAATTTTTGGCTTCAAATTTGGGGTCGCGAGCCGAGAAAGGTTGAGAACCGCTGGGATAGGGGCTGCATCCGGGCGACCGGGCCGACACCGGGCCAACCACTGCAGTCCGTCTCCGGCTCGCCTCGGCCTCGCCGCGGAAAGGCGGATGGGGCGTATAGGGCCAGCGCTCCGCCGCCTCGTCGCCTCGCCCACGACGCGGTCGAGGGTTCAAACACTCGGCTCACGTTCTTTTTTCTACCCCACCCCGCGGACGCCGCTGCCGGCCCGGCTCTTTTCTCTCGCAGTCCACGCCGCGCCCCTAGCAGCACGCACTTTTTTCCGTCAAACTTTTTGGCGCACAATAACTTTGGCAAGTTTCGGTCAGGTAACTCATTCCGCGAGCCGGCCGAGCCGAGCCGGGCCGTGGCGAGCCGGGCCGAAGTGCCCCTTGTCAGGAGAAGGACCGCCGCTCAGGTGGTGCGACAGTGCGACTCAGACCGCATCAAGTTTTACTCTCATATCGTAAAAATAAAACAAAAAAGAGCCAAAAAAATGTTACCGGCACCAGGGATCGAACCCAGTACCTTCTCCGCCGCGGTGCCGCCGCCAGCCCTAAAGATTTGCGGTGGGGTCCACCGTCTTCGACTTGGCGGCGTCAGTTTTTGCCCCCACCTCCACCTCCACGGCGCCCTCTGATGAATCCCGACTTAATTGTTGACCCGACAACCGCTTAATCTTCATTGCCGTCCCACTTTCGTTTTATCCTTTCCTCTCTCTCTTTTTTTCCAGCCACCCTCCTCGCTTTTTTCCCTCCCTGCTCCTCTCCGCGCACTTCGCTTACCTTCCCCGCCTCTCAGAAATTTCCGCACGGCAGTCCGGTGCCGTCCGAGATTTTGTGCATCCTCCCCGCCCTGCCGCTGCTGCCAGCCTGCCGCCTGACGGAGAATGCTCCCGACATCTCGCGTAATTACGCCGAGTTACAATTAATAAACAACAACAAAACAATGCCCGGGGCTTTTGCTGCCGGAATGATGCATGGTGCACGCGAGTCCTCTCACGGGGGAGGAGTCCCGCGCCGGCCCTCACGTGACACGTGCATTTTCATTTGCGCCCCGTGCACGAGAGAGAGAGAGAGAGAGAGAGAGAGAGAGAGAGAGCGTGTGAAGTCGTGGCGTGCAGCAGTCCTGAACGGAAACGAAATGTAGTTGCAATAGTTTGCGGCCACGCCCATGCGGGCCCTTGCGGGAGCACGCGGCAGTGTGCCTGCGGTCACACCCGTCACGCCGTCACGCTCTCGTCGTGCGCTCGGCCTCCTCGGCCTGCTCGGCGTGCCGAAGCGGGCCGGCCCACAGTGGGCCAGAAGGCCGGTGGAGGCGGACGAAACTCGAGACGTGTTTTGATCTCCAGAGTCGCTAAATGGGACTCGAACCGAACGTGTGACCGCACCAATGGATTGCTCTCCGAACGAGGAATCCATTGGTGGGGTCATACGCTCGGTTCGAGCCCCACTTGGCAACTCCCGGAACTCAAAACGCGTCTCGAGTTTTGTCCGACTCCAGCGGCCTTGTGGCCCACTGTGCGGCCTGGAGCGACCTCGCAGGTACCTCCCGCCAGCGTGAAGCGCCAAGACGATCATTTGTGGTCCAGCCATTAATCGCAATCGCAATCGCCTGCACTGTAGGCAACACGCGCACAGCGCTGCGGCTGTGTGGCCTACCCTGCACTCTGCAGGCGCCAAGCAGCCGCAGCTTCGAGCCTCGGCCGCCTCGGCGACGTGGACGCGGCACTGCCAGGGCACTGCCAGGGCACTGCACGCCATGGCACGCCACTGCTCGGCTGACCGACACGCACATCTATGCGGATATCACACGAATGGCGGATCCGCGGCCTCGCTTTGTGAGGACCTGTGTTTTTATCTTCCTCCTCCGGCTGGGTGGCGCGGCGTGGCGTGCCCTGGCGAGGTGGACCTGCATTATTTCACTTACAGTGCCGGCTCGCCGCGGCCCGGCCGCCTTGCCCGGCCAAATTTAATTTCGCGGCGATTGTGTGCGGGAAGGGGAGGGGGTGGGGCGGGCGGGCGGCGGAGCAGAAGTGATAGCGGACTAGGAGGTGACCGGAGGGGAGGGGGAGGGGGGGGGGGCACGCCGCTGCGGCCGACTGGAAAGACTGGGCCCAAGAGTGCCGCCCATGGTGTTTTGTTTTCCTTCGCAGAAAGAGCCGCGGCGTCCGGCTGCAGGCTGAGTCCGAGCGCCGTCGCTCTGTCTCTCTCGCACTCATGGGCCGTCCCGTATGGGTGGGAGAGAGACAGAGCGACGAAAACGACTCTCGGAAACAGTCTGCTGGTGCTTCTTGGAGTCTTTGTGGCGCGCTGCGCGGGGAGCCACGTCCAGGGGGGGGTGGGGGTGGGGGGTCGAAGGGGACGGTTCCCGTCCGTATTAATCCGTTGCATAATCCGCTGACGCCTTTCCAAGTCGACGCCGACCCCCTCGAGCACCACTTACACTCGCCCCGCCCCGCCCCGCCCCGCCCCGCCCCGCCACACCCCGCCCCACCACCGCAACACGGTTTGCTAATTATAATAGCACCATGCACCAATTACTGCTACAATCCAATTCCGTTCGGTTAACGCTAGCACCAAACCGAGCGCGCGCCGCGCCGCCCCAGCCCCCGCTGTCTCTCTCACTTAGACGCACACACATTCCCCCCCCCCCACACACACACACACACAGGCTTCTAGAGTCGTGTTGAAGGGCCAGTGGTTGGTTGGAGGGTTTTCCATCGATTGGATTGCGCAAACCGGGCGTGGGATTTTGGACCGACGAGGAGTCGTTCCGTTCCGTTGGACGCGCTGGCCCGCCGCCGCGCCATGCAGGTATACCCTGTCTCTCTCGCTCTCGCGCGTATGCCGCTCCGAAGGTGTGCGAGGGAGACAGGGCGATGTAGCCCGGGGCGTGATGCAGCGAGGCTTCGGCCCGCCGAAGAGGAATTGGCCGAGCAGCCAGCCACTGCAGGGCAAAGTGCGGCCAGATATTATTTCGATCACCCTGTGCTGCCGCCCGCGGCGGTTGGCATCCCTGGCGGAGGGGCCGCGGGGTGCCTGGGAATGAGCTGCCGCCCCGCCCCGCCCCGCCACGCCCCAGCCTGTCATAACTCACACGGAAGCGGCGAGGTTCAACTAGCTCGCAGCGAAACGTGTGTAATGTAACATGTAATGATATGTACACTATCACACCAGCGAAAAAGGGTCGGGCGAAAAATTGTGAGCCTGCAGCCCGCCTATGCCTGGAAGGAAGGAAGGCCGGCGCTTCGTTTTGGCGCTCCGATGGCTCCGAGTGCTCATCTCGAGCCCGTCCAGCGAGCCGTCCAGGCAGCAACAGTGGCAGTGAAGGTGAGGACGGTGAGGATGACCTTCAAAACTGAATCCTTGAGTTGCACGGACTGCGAGAGGTTTGAACAGCCGGGGCGCTTATCAGATGCTCTTTCGCTGAGTCGAGCCTTGAGCCTAGACGCCTTAGCAGAGCAGATAGCCCGCCAGCAAGCGTCGTCTAGGGCACTGCGCTCGGGAAGAGATGCCATGCGTTTGGCTCGGGTCTCGACTTCTGGACTTGCGCGGCCTCGGCGCTCCGTCTCAAAAACAAAACATGCGTGTCCCGCTCACTCGACAATACTGCAAAGCTCCTACGAAAACATGTTGATTCGAAAATTTCAGATCTTGATCTGAAAAAAAAATCACTCCAAACTTTTTTTTTTAGGTTTTTAAGTAACAACTTTCACCGTTCTTTGATTTGGGCTCATCCACAGCCACAAATTCAAGTGAATGACAAACTGTTCCGTGGCCGAACCCAAACAAGCGTGCGACTCCCGCCTCAGTCTTCTGCAGTGTCTGCCCCCAATCCCCTCTGGACGCGCTGGCCGGCCTGGCCGCCATCCAAGCAGGCCGGCCGGGGCTGGGCCGAGTCGCCGCTCGGGGCGCAGCGAGGGCGTAGCGCGTAGCGAGCGTGGCGCCGGAGTCCGGCCTGGAGTCCGGCCGCCGGACCGACCGAGCCAAATGGGGCCGGGGCTGGCAGGCTGGCCACCTAACGACGTCAAGGCGACATCAACGCGGTCGGGGAGGCGGGGCTTAAAATGGAGAGTCCGAAAGCCGGGCAAGAAAAAGGAGAGGCCTCAGTGGAGGCGGCAAGGCGGCAGCACTTAGCAGTGTCATTTTTATTGCCGTGGGAGCATGGGAACGCGCCCACTGGCCACAGGCTGCCAGGCCTGGCCAGGCCGCCACAGCGGTGAGCACGGTCTTTACTTGATGTTGAGTCCTTATCTGCACCAAGGCCCCCCCTGTTCGCCTCTGGACCCAGTGGGACACACACTCACACACACACACACACCACACAGAGTCTCGTGATGGCCATAGGGACTCCAAGCTGGAAACCGAGCGAACCACATCCCTCGGGACCCTATCTGCCAGGCAAGCCGTGCTCGTGCCAGGACCATGGCCAGGACCCACCCCCTCCCCTCCCCAGACGCGACCCGCCCCGCCGCTCCCCGGATCTGGTCTGATCGAAATGACCTGTGGAAATAAAAGTGACCCTTGGCAGCAGCCGATGGTGGCGGCGCGTGGCGGCGCCTTGTAGGCGGTAGGCCCCGGTCCCAGCCATTAGTCCACCTGCTTGCCACTCACCGGCTATCTGCATCAAAACCACTGCGTTCGAGCAGAGAGCAGAGCTCTTGTGCCATCTTCAAATGACCGACACTGTTCACATTTAAAACATGGAGAATTTTATTAAATAAACATCAAACAGTGAAATTACAACATCTTTCATTGTAGACTCTCATGATTTGTGAAGATTTGTTGTTTCCAACTAACTGTAATCTTTACAGTACAGCATTTCATATATAATATAATATTGAATATTCATCACAATTGATTGTTCCCAAAATAACCCATGTAATCCTGAGTATTACTTAAAGGTATGTTATAAGTAGAAGAGGACTTTTGATATCACTTAAATTACAGAGGGGAGATAAATTGTAAAACCAGTCCCTTTCCACTGACCACATGGACAAGTTGTAGCAGATTCTATCCTCATCGAATGGAATGAAAACACAGAGTTCAGTTACCAAAATTACTGCAAACTAATGTGTAAATGTGGCAATTTGATTATGCTAATCTCAAATATGCCAATTCAAGTCAAAAATATATCTTAAACACGTTAAATCTTATTTTGAAGAAACACAAACCAGTTATAATAGAGGACTGTCTATTTTTATGCGAAAAGAGAAGTCAACAAAATTAGCAAAGGGGAGAAAGTACCAACCAATTCCCCCAAAACTTCGACCACAAAATTTTGCCCTATATCACAGCTGAACAGTAAGAGATTAAAAAATAGTCCCATCATGGGACAGATCATTCCGGGTGCATGCAAAGCATGATTATATAAAACCTAAGAGGATAAATGCAATTCTATAACAATTTGTAGGAACAATGCAGAAATTTGAGCAAACATTAGAAAGGAAGAAAAAAATAGGAAGTATACCTAATCAACACTTAAAGAGGGATAAAAAGCTGCACAAAATATCAATAGCTAACATCTCCACACGAAGTGTAAATCTTGCTTTAACAGATTTTGATTAACACTTATAAAACATTGGAATAATACCACTTGTAAAAATAGGAAGATATGACACAATAATTATGCCTAATTTACCAAATGTTCAACAATAGCAGTAAAAAGTTGGCAGGATACAATGCACAGTAAACCACCACACATATTTAAAAAAAAAAAAAGCATTTTGTCATCTTAAGTTAAAATCAAGGCTCCTATGGTCTGTAGGTTCCCAGCTCTTCATGGCAGTTGGGGCAAGTATGCTTCACAACTTTGCAGGAATCCATGCAATATGGGAGACAACAGCAACAGGGGCACCTAATAGGAAAAAAGGAGACATAGAAAAATCAAGCCGTAAGAAATATGAAAAACAAAAATGATACAAGCTCAATAAAAACTCACGAAAACATTAGAATGCAGCAAAAAAAATGAGCCAGGCACTTGTGTGACTCCGTTGTCTCCGTCATTACTTGAGCATTGCAGTGATGGCACATCGTGTAGGACCTATCACGACCCAAGCTGGTGAACACAATTGTAGTGGGAGGAGCAGCAGCGTACCCAGCAGGAGGTTGTTGGGGGACAGTTTGAACTGGATAGGGGTTTGTTAGTGGCATTCCGTGAGGAGACATTTGAGGCATGGGCATTGGCATTGGCTCTGGTTGAGAAGCCATCATATGAGGCCCAGGTGGTGGTACAAAACCAACTCCACCGGCTTGCATCATCGCTTCTTGATATGTTGGCGGTGCAGATGGCACAAACGTCGTCTGAGCGGCATTCTCCATAAGTCCTTCTTTAGACATGATGATTGAAGCGATCTAAAGTAACAGAGAAATCAATGCGTTAGATAAGCCTTTAGTAAGATACGTGAAAAATCTCTCTTAATATTTTCAACATCCTGTAAATAAATAGGTTTTGGCACGTGTGGCAACTACACAACCACCACTGGAGTTGCTGGAGTTGTTCCCCAAGGCAAAAGCGAGTCAAAAGGAAGAGCAACAGGTCCAACATTATTTCAACGTACTTACAATGTGTTGCAACAAAACAAACAAACCGCAAGAATGCAACTGTCTGAAGCAAGACACACTTTGCTCCTACATTACCTTGAAAATACCTTCCAGATAACTGTCGCACGTCCACCACAATCCTTGAACAATAAACAGGCACGACAGAAAAGATGATAGAATGAAGTTTTTTTTTAAGGTACCTTCTCTTTTTTGATAACAGATTTTTTATCCTGTCGTATTTTATTAGCTCATGAGAAACTGAGAAAAACGCATCGAATCGTATTTGAGCTCAGCTCAATATTTAACGGCAACGGAGCGAGTTAGAAAGTAAAGAAGTTTTTTTTGAAAGAAACAAAATCTTCTCTTTAGTGGAATTTTGTCACATCAGAACTATGATTTCACATGCATTTAAGTGTGGTCGATTGTGAAGTACCACTTGATTTTTCATACCATCGACATGTGGAGGCGTAGAGAAGTAGTTAGCGCCCCACTCCTCTCCGCCCCTCCCCCCTGTTTCCCGCTCGCGTCACAGCCCAGCCTAGAGCTTCTTCCCCTAGCCTTTGTAAACATTGTTCTTTTCGATTATGTTTTCCGTTGAATTTTTGTTCATTTGTGAAAAGTTTACCAAAGACAACTTTCTATGAGAACGTATTTCAGCTTCATGTAGGTGTTTCCTCCCACGAGAATTTCCTCAATGATTGATTTTTGATGGAATTGAAGTAGATTACTTTGGTATGTAACCCTACTTGTGCTTCATGTTCACCCTTCCAACAAGGGGCCAACTGCCGTAGAATTTTTGTTTATTTATTCTGTCTTTGTAATTTGACTTGAAAAGGAGTAAGAAAACTTAAAAAATTATAATGAAGTCTCGTAAGAATAAAGATTTAAGGACAATAAAAGAAGGGGTGGTGGGCAAGTATGTCAAGAAAGAAACACCACCAGAAATGCCAAGTAAGATGTCTGGAAACACTAAAATTTTTGAATTCTTAAATTTATGAATGTGTCAACTCATTGTTTTATCTTGATTACAGTTATCAATGTGTGGACCACTGACCCTGTAAAGAAGATGTCTAGTAGGAAGAGTTCTACAACCACTTCATCTACCGCATCAGTGAGTCAATGAAAATATGTAGAGTTCGTGATTCATGACGGTCATGTTACTCCGTAGGTATTCCACAGCCTTTCATGCCCTAATAGCAGCATCCTCGTCCTTAGGTTGGTTCGCAGCCTACCAGGATTGTTCAGAAGTTTGGCAGCCGCATGACTCCAAGCCCAAGCGCATCACTTGGACATGAAGGAAAATATACACCGAGCAGCTCTGTTCCTGATTTGGCCCATAGGTTTGTACTGTTATGATTCCCTATGAATTTATGCTTCGTATTTAGCTGATCCCTTTCCCCTGTGTAATTTCTATTTGCTCAAGTAGGTTTGCAAGCTTGTCAATGGGTACTGGTTCTGAGTATGGCTCTAGTAATCCCGTCTCAAGCTACAGTCTTGTACCGACAAGTAGTCATGTCTCACATGAAATTCCTCAGGTGTGTACGATTTTACAGCTTATACTATGATAATATTCTACTTGTTCTTTATTTTAACCTGAGTCTTTCAACAGTTGAGTGCTGTGTATATGCACACCCATTGTACTCCTGACTATCAAGAAACATTTGGCCTTCAACAAGCTGATATTGCATATGGAGAAACATCACACCATCAACATCTAGATGATTATCGTCTTTCTCCGTATTCCCAGGTTCGTGATGAGTATTCAAACAATTAAATGTATGATCAAGAATTATCCTATTCATTAATTAATTTTGCTGGTCTTTCTAGAATGTTGGATACAGTCAGCAGCTACTGCATACTCCACAGCATTCTACCCATGCTCTACATCTGCCCATCCCTCATGGCATGCACGGTATGCCTCAGACTCACGAGGCTCTTCAAGGATCTCAACATAGTTTACACCGCTCCCCATCTGATGCAGCTAGTATGTTAAACATTTTCTGCGACACCTGCAATCTCTTCAAACGATTGTCATGCTCATGTTTCAATAATGTGCAGATGTGGGTGAAGGCGGTGCAGAAGAACTACCTCTACCCCCAGGCTGGTCTGTTGACTTCACTCTTCGTGGTCGCAAGTATTACATTGATCACAACACCAAAACGACTCACTGGAGTCATCCATTGGAGAAAGAAGGTCTTCCCACAGGGTGGGAACGTATAGATTCACCAGAATATGGCATATACTATGTCAAGTATGTTATATTGGTTCATGCTATTTTCTGTTTACTCTTCATTTTTGAGATGGATTTGTTCAACAACTACCATAAACTTAAACAGCAGACATGTCTCAAACCAATGCTCTCATAATGTGGCCAATTGCATTTTTTTTTTCAGTCATATTACGCAGCATGCTCAATATGACCATCCCTGTGCTCCTCATTACAACTATCAGCCAGAAGTCAGATCAGGATTAGATGTTCCTCTTCCTTTACCGCAACATATTCATTTTCATCCTCCCAGTGTACTTGTCCCTGCTAACCCTTACTTGAATGAAGGTTTGTTTTCACCAGTCTATTTTTCATTGTGTGAATTATCCTTGTTGTTGGAGTTTACTGTACCTCATCATCTATTCCTTTTTCTTTCAGAAATCCCCAACTGGCTTGGAGTTTATTCGAGAGCGTCACAAGACTTGGATCATAAACTGAAATGGGAAATGTTTCGTTTACCAGAACTGGACTGTTTTAATGTTATGCTTACCCGATTATATAAACAGGAATTGGAGGAGATTGTAATGCGCTATGAAGCATACAGGTTTGTGGCACTGAATCAACTGGCTCACAACAATGTTTGTCTTTCGGTCCTTGGCATTGACATTCATTTTGAGTTATCTCTTCTCCTAGGTCTGCCCTCGCATATGAAATGGAAAGAAGATTTCGAGCTCAGCATCAGCATAAAATGCTTGCATTACCACCAATAACAAGTGATGGGCAAAGTGAAGCCCCAGTACTCACGCAAAATGTAGAAACAAAAGTTTAATGCCAGGTTCCTTGTCTTTATGGCTGTTCCTATAATATTTGCCTTATGTGCCTTATAGAATTTGTGTTTTTGTAATTGGCTGTGTTATAGATCATTAAGCATTTTCCCCTTTTCTATTTTAGAGTAGTGTTCAAAAGAACTAAGCCAGAATGTGAATTGTCACTTGATTTCAGAACAGATGCACTATATACATATAAGTTGCACTGATCTGTTAAAATTTTATTTTTTTGTACCAGATATATGTTTTTAAAGTTTGTTTATACTGTAGTTTCTAAAAATGTTCATCTATTTTTATTCATATTTCTGTTTTTACGAAAAGTATCAATATTTATAGAACTACAGAGAGCGCTGATTATGGTATTTTATGTGATATCTGTTAGTATGTATTCATATACATAAACAAATGTATATGTATTTTTAAATTATAACATCACCAATCATGTCAACAGATTTCAACTTCATTTCAAACACTGCTACACCTATATTAATTTAAAAAACAAACTTTAAGGTGTTTATTGTCATGGACCATTGAAAGTTGGCATAGCATACAGGGTTCTGTCAAGACTAACATAACATGTTGTAAAGAAAGGAATTGTTGGGAAAAAAAAGCACCAACCAACGTCTTCACACCATAAATTTTATCATGATACAAAGTAACTAAATTCTAATATGCTAAAATGTCAGTTCTTTTCTTCATCTTTTACTATTTCTTCACCAAAAAAGTCTATGTCACTACGCTTCAGTAGCTCATCCTCATCCCTATTATAAACACCAGTCTTAGTCAATTTTCCTCCTGATAGATCATACATGTGCATATTCTGTGCTTGCAGTACTCTTCCATAGTATAAACCTAGCAATACAGAAACAGCAGGATGTGTAGTAATGAACAAAACATCAAAAATAGGAAGATATGCTGGTAAAATAAAAAACCCACCAGGCATTTGTTCTCTCATGGCAAATGTAGGGTCTTCTTTTCTTGCCTTCTCTTTATACGTTTTGAAGTTGTACGCCACCAAGCCAAGGGTACACCACGCAGACAAAACATAGATTCCTGTGAGTCTTCGACTCCATTCATCAGCTGTTTTGTAAGGTATGGGTTTCATTACTCGCCGAATTTGTCTACGGATCCAAAAGTAAATCATGATTCTGAAACAAATCAGTTTCTGAGGTTAGCGACTAGGGAAAGAAGCAAAACCAAACAGCAAATCTACCCAAAATTTACCTTAAATATGTGTCCGAGGGGATTTCAACCGATGTGATTATTGATAATAGTACAATAACCTACGAAAACAAAGAAAAGCAATGAAAACATGTTAACCTCGGTAAATGGATGAAACACTACAAACCGACACAAAAAACCTACGTTGTACGAAAATATTTGAATTATAGCATGTGTTGCCAACAAGCTGACCACATTTCCTGAAGCATAGATGCTTATGTTCGAAGAATGACAAATGTTAAACTCATTTACGTCGCTTCCTATGTTAAAATTTTTGAGATACCACTTTAGCTAGCAGACGAAACTTCTCAACTCAACTAAGTTTCTCATACAACTAAATGCAACCAAGTTTTTCATAATCTTTCACGGTCACATGGACACCAACGGTCAAATATCTGGAAAAATATTTGCGATGCACAGTATTTACACATTGTTCTCACGTCTGCGTTTGTGAGCGAGCATTTTGAAATAAAAGGCATTCAAGCTCCTACACTCTTTGCCAACGCCTGAGCCGTCTGAGACTCCACAATTCGGCTGCGTCAGAAGAGGGTAGACCCGTCTCTCATCTCTCTCCCTCTCGAGGGCCCGAGGGAGAACGACATGGTGGAAAACAACGTTTCGCCCGCAGCCACATTTTCTGTCCTTCATCGCGCTGTTTCATCTCATCGCGTTGCTGTGCTTTGTTGGGTCTGCAGCTGCTGCTGCTGTTGCTGCTGCTGTTGCAGTTTCATGGAATTATCTGTCCAGACCAAACAAAAATTGGTGTTTGGAAACCCTGAGAGAGATGACTTTTTAGGGCATTTCTTGACAGCCAGGTAAGTCGAGTTCGAGGAGCTCGTTTAGGCGCCCCGCAAAGAGGATGGAGCTTTGGCTTGCTCCGTCTCACTGACAGGTGTCCTCTCTCCGGAGTGCATCAAAACATGGCTCCTGACAGGACAAAGAGGTTAGTGGCTTGAGAGAACTGTCATATTGAACAGCCCTGTTACGCTCATTTCGCAACGAAGAAACGCCCCTATTTATTAGTTTGATATCCCGCACCAAGTTTTGTATCTCCCTGGTTGATCCCCGGTGGATTCAGGCACACTGCGCCTAACCCAATGTCATTATGGATGCACACCATAACAAAGGATATTGTGACTTTTATCTGGGACTTTAGTTACTTTGCATTGTTTTTTTCCTGCTAGTTGAATCACACCCCAGCTAGTCCTGAGTATGCCTGTAGCAGTGTATCCCTGTGTTTGTCCTCTGCCCTTGCTTGCTGTTCAAGGCCATCCTTGAATGTTTGTTATTTGCAGAATGTTTCCCTGATGTCAAACCTTTCAAGAGAAAATTACTTCACCTGTTTGCATTCCCCAAGGGAAAAGTGAGGTGAACCCCTCACTATAAATTTTATTCGGGTTGTGATTGACTGAAATGGACAATATGTTCCTATATCAACAAGCAAATGGTGTACCCCAGGAGTCGAAACTTGCAACGTACATGGTAAGCCTGTGAAAGGTTTCCGTAGAAGCTTTGCTCCGTTATGCTTGCTTGTCTTTTAAATCAAGCTTCTTATGTAGTCTATAACATTTTTTCAAAGTGCTGTCATTTTCTTTTGTTTTTATTGTATAATTTGTTCTTTTTTGTATTCTAAAATGTGTTGTTTATTTTTTGTTTTGTTTTACATTTCGTTAATGATTTGTATTGAAAAGATATTTCATCATTTTCAATGTTGGTCTACTGACCAATAAAAAAGATGCTTAGACAATGTTTTTATATTATAGCTTACTAATTTTTGTTTCAATTTTCAGAAACGAGCTTCTCCATCAGTTAATTCTTTGTCAAATAATTTGAACTCCATGAGTTTAGATCAAACATCCCAATTTCAGAAGGTAGATTTCATTAGCCGACTTCACTCTTCTTTTTATTTCTGCTAATGCCATTTTATTTTAAATTGCTGATTTATCCTATTGGTACCATCTAAAACTCATCATTTGTATTTTTGTTTGTTTGTTTAGGTACTTGCTCAATCCACAGAGTTTGTGCCAAGCAACTTGGCTAATAGCTCTAGCTCCAATTCCAGTCCAAACTTTCACGTAGGAAATTCCTATGTTTCGCCAGTACGTAGTCCAGCTAATGCACAAACTCTTGGAGGCTCCCCTTTAAGTCATGCTGCCTCACAATCTCCACCACCCAAAATCTTGCACCCTACTCCTGTACAGCCAACATCTACTGCTGTATCAACTTACCAGGTAACAGCACATTCAAGTTGATTGATTATTGGGTGACTAATATGTGTTGTAAATCCTCTGATTCATAAGTACCCCTGGTTCAAGCTCCTGCCTCTTTTACCCCTTCTGAAACTGTCACTGGACACATCAGCGTTGATAGAGTCCTTTATTATTATTATTTCAGGAAAATGTGGGAGGAACTACATACTTTTACCCAACACCAATGGGAGGGAGTGCAGTCACAGCAGATGCTGGCCCAGTGAGTGGGTCTCCCCTACCGGATGCAGCCAATGCAGTTCCATCACCTAACTTTTACATGTACCCTGGAACACCCAGTCATTTGACGCCATTATCAACATCCCCTGTATCCTCACCTGGTCCGGGGAAGAAATTGCCGCCTGCTGCGTCCAGCAGCTTTTATGTTGCAGATAAGTTAAGGCAAGAAATTGCCATGCGGAACACCCTTATTATGGCATTACCAGATCAAGATCAAAATTCTGGTGAGTTGTAGATTTACCACTTACTGCAAGAATGTCATCAAGTTCTACTTTCATACAAGTGTTTTATTTTGTCCATCCTTAAAGACCTTCCACCTTTAGTTGACAATTATCATGAGCTATGTCCATTGGAGCCAGCCTCAAGTGGTACTCCTAAAGTCAACATAATGGGATACCAAACTTCCTCATACAAAGCAACTCATTCAAAAACAGGCGTCAGATACTGTCTTAGGCGAATCCATGGTAAGTTCAAGAGTTTTGCATCAATTTATTTTTTTAACTCTTGTTACAAGATGATTGTAATTTATGTTTGCTTCATAGGATTCAGACTTCCAAGCACAAAATGTATGACTGTTGTTGATGCTTGGAAGCGTCTTCAACATTCTAATATTGTGCAGCTCAGAGAAATCTTCACTACAAAAGCATTCAATGATCATTGTAAGACTCAAATCTTTGGAATTTAGTATATATTTGCTCAAGAGAATTTGGTATTTAACTTATTTGTTCATTATTTCAGCTATGATATTTGTGTATGATTTCCACCCCGGGTCTGAAACTCTTCTGGCAAAACATTTTTCCCCCACTGGCCCTGATGCTCCAAATGGATATGCTGATGCATTTTCAAATGATCCCAATGCACCACGTCCATACAGTCATCAAAAGAACACCTTGTTAAGAGCACAACACAGTTCTCTTTTACCAGAGTGTGCCATATGGAATTTCATAATCCAAGTTACAGCTGCATTAAGAGTAATACATGCAGCCGGATTAGCTTGTCGTGCACTAGATCCAACAAAGATTATTCTTACTGCCCGCTCAAGACTACGGTTAAGCTGTGCTGGTGTAATGGATGTGCTTGCTTTTGATGCAAATGTGCAAGCACAAGCTCACATTCCACACTATCAGGTAAGGAGCTGTCATAATTTTTCTTAGAGCTCAAGTTCAAAACTTTGGATCACATTCAAAACTTTTTGATTTTGCAGCAAGAAGATCTGTGTGCCTTGGGGAAGCTTGTTCTAGCATTGGCTTGCAAATCTCTGATATCTGTACAACCAGAAAATATCAAAACATCTCTTGATTTGGTTGGTCGTACATATTCCAGTGACTTGCGAAATCTTATAGTGTTAGTGTCTCTTTTGATTAAATGTTCTTGTAACTAACTTCACATTGTTATCAATTAATTAGTGTTTTTATTTTCTTCCAGTTATTTGTTATCCAATCAACAGCGACGCTCACTCACAGATCTCATGCCAATGATAGGAGCTCGATTCTACACTCAACTAGATACCATGCAAATCCGTGGAGATGTTCTTGAAAATGAATTGGCCAAGGAGATGGAAAATGGTCGTCTCTGTAGGATCCTGGCCAAACTGGGAACTATTAACGAAAGGCCTGAGCTTAACTTGGATCCAACTTGGGCAGAGACAGGTGACCGGTACATGCTGAAGCTATTCAGAGATTATGTGTTCCACCAGGTAACTGAAGATGGGCGGCCGTGGATTGACATGGCACACGTTGTCACTTGCCTAAATAAGCTGGATGCTGGTGTAAATGAAAAGGTAGGTTGCCATTCTATTAACCCCACCTCTGTGATTTAGGCTTAAGACACTCATTTTGAATATAACAAATAATCAGAAGTTATATTTAAAATATTTCTTGCAGATTTGCTTGATGTCACATGATGAGCAAAGTGTTCTTGTCGTCACCTACTCAGAGCTCAAGCAATGTTTGGAAACTTCTTTTGAGGAAGTCTTCAGTGCATCACTTAAACCAGACACTAGGTAATAGCATATCACAGCTCCTTTGTCTATTGACGTTCAGTATTCTAGACACTTATCACAATCCATCTATAGTCCTGATCATGGCAGGGAACTTGTGCAGCTCCGCCCAAAGACATAGTACAAAATCTGAGGAACATAATTTATTTGAATTTGGTTTTGAAAGAAAGATGTGGTAGTGTGTGAATCTCCTGTAATATTTTGCTCTCAGGAAATAGTGTGTGTTGTGCAGAGCAGTTACCATGGAGTTTTCTCTGTTGTAAAATTTAATTAATTAAATGCCTGTTTATATAGATCATGTCATGTTAAACATGATATTCTTAGTGTTTTGGACAGTGGTGCAATAAAATTAATATGTATGTGAGGGGCATAGTAACAGTGAGGTGGGTGGTTCCTGAAGCATTTTTGCTTTTAAATCCCCAATTAAATTATGAGCTGTGTATAGATTATATTTGAGATTATCATAACTTATCGTTTTAGACAAAATGGCGCTATTTTTAAATGACTAGTCCGTTGAGCGCCTTTGGAGTTTTAGTTCTGGGGTTTAATTGCACCTGTCCCTCAAGCCTGTAATTGCGCCACTGTTTGTTACCAACATTTAAAGGTTATCTTTTTCTGACAATTGCAACTCTTGTCTTCACTTTGATACAAATATTGGCTGTTTGTTGAGTTGGGTGACTCTTTTGTATGTTCTCAATGGATCTCAACCATGCCCTGTCCTCAGCAATAATTTTTCCTTTTGTACAATGATTTTTGATGTGCATTTACCGGTTACCGGTACAGTTATTCTGGTACAATTAAGTTACAAAGAATGTCCTTTGACTGAATTGGCTTAATGCATATGGCTTTCTGTTACTTTCTGTTTTGCCATGTAATTTTCTTAAAATTTCAGATTTGTTTTATGAATTTTGTCTTACTTTGCTTCGCCATCTGGGTCTGAATCATGTTTGTTGTATTCCATCATGTGAGATTGGTACAGGTATGTCAAGTTGCTTATACTTTTTGAAGAATTTTTGCAAGAGTTTTGTTTTTATTGTACAGCGTGATTGTATTTTGATCATGGTCATGTTTTAGTGTGTCTAAATCTTATCTTTTGGCTATTTTTTAATACCAATTGGCAATTTTGTTTTCTTGGAATTCTGGGTGTATGCTAAGCTTCAATGCGGTATGGAGCAAACTTAAAATGAGAAACAATTTTTTTCTTCTTCTTTTAAATGTGAAATGTGTCAACAGTGGTTTTATTTTCTTAATGTAAGTTGAAGCAGAATGACAATTGCCATTTTGAAGATATTGGGTTTGGATTAACTTAAGTGAAATACCTCAACAACTATTGTAGCAGGTAGTGTTTAGACATTGAATGCATTGTTTGCACACTATTTGTGGTGCTGTGCTACCACCTTGTTCAGACTGGTGCAGAGTTTTGGGTTCCATCAACTACCTCCCAATGTAAACACCCAAAGTTCTTGCTGTGGTTTTTTTTCTTTCCCTAGTTTCTTTCCATCAGATGCACGGTACTTAATTTAATTAAGAATATACTGGTGAGAAATTTGATTGTTTTCGTATGTTGTGATACTTTCAACCCCTAGTCAAATCGGGGTTGGTTAATGAAATGGTCAGTCCAATTCTCGTTGATGCAGTTCATTAATTAACTAAGCACATGTAAAGACCTATGTGGTCTAAGGCTGCTTCTACCATGCAGAAGTACTGTTACGATCCAGAATGGTTTTCACTGTGAATTCTTGTGATATCTGTGGGGAAAATACCTGTCAATTAAGTGAGCTATTTTTTTTTAAATAAAAAAATAAAAAAGATTACTGACGATTAGTTCTTTTATTTCTTCCACATTTCCCTCTGGCCTGCTCTGAGTCTTCTAGACTGAAATTTCTGTAGACGAAATCTGCTTGCTAATTTACCTCACTTGCGCTTGACGCATTTTGCGTCTGCGGCGCGGGCCGAATGAGACACGGCACAGCAGTGTGCGACGCAGACAGACTGCGGCAGCAGCTATCTTTGGCTTCGGCCGAGAGGCGGTGGCACCACGACCACGGCACTCGGACCTCTCGGACACGCCGACGACCTGACGACGCGACCGAAGGAGGCGACCGTACCGGCCCGATGCCACCAGCTACCGGCAGACTGATTCCGAGAGTCGTTTTCGTCGCTCTATCTCTCTCGCACTCATGGGGCGTCGTCCGCTATTGGTGCGAGAGAGACAACGACGAAATCGACTCTCGGAATCAGTGCAGCTCACCAGTACACGGAGCACCGTTTCATTCAAACCTCGTCCACTGATCAGAAAAGGATCCGTCGATACCCTTTGCGAGAGGCTGTCCAGATGTCCACAGAGTCTCTTGCAAGCGAAGTATGGACGCGTCGTTTCTTTGGCCCACAGCGCTGTCAGCCAATGGTAATCGCATGTGCTCTGGGGCATTTGGGGTTTAGGGCGCCAGCGGGTATTTCTTTAAAGACTGCCTGCGCCTCGGCCGCAGTTCCAGTTTCCTCGCTGTCTCTACCGCACTCATTGAGCGTCCTGTGGGTGTGGGAGAGAGACAGCGGCGAGCTGTTCTCGCCGAAGCGGAGGTTGCGGGCCGGGCCGCGGTCGCAGGTTGGCCAGTAGTTGGCTGTCGAAGAGGCCCACTACACTGCAGTGGGTCTGGCCTGCGGCAGGCCTGCGGATTCGCGTCGTCTCGTCTCGTCCGGCTCTTGCCCCGTGGTCCCTCGGCTGCCCTCGGCCGGCAACGCAACTCGAGACAGAAAGAGACGAGCCGAGCTGGGCCTTGCGGAGCCGAGCCAGGCCGCGGCTCCTGGCCGCCCTGGCCGGGTCTCTGGTCTCTACTCCTGCCTCACTGGCCGGCCGCTCGCGCTGCGCCGTGCCGCACCGTCCTCCTGTCCTTCCCTCCCGCAGTCAGTATTGGTCTGGCTGCCGCTGGTGGCGCACCTCCCCGCGCCGCTCCGTGCCTCGCTCGGCGACTCGGCCCGGCGTCGGCTCGGCGTCTAACGTTGCGCGCGTTGCGTCGCCGGCCCACCGCGCTTCGCGCTGCGCGTCGCGGAGCTTCGAGCCGCCGGTCCGGCACGTCGCGTCTCGTCACGCCGCGTCACTGCGTCACTGCGTCACTCGGAGTGACACCGGGCCCACCCCCACCGGGGACACCGGCAATCAGCTGCTCCGATGTGAGCGGCGGCCTGCCGTCCCGACCAACTGTGCAGCGCCGCCGAGGAGACCAGCAAGAAGAAGTGGGAGGAGGAATTCCCCGACGACGTCCTCATTGTGCACCTGCCGCCGCGCCGCCGCGCCGCAGACGCTTTAAAAAGGGATCGGCCGATACCAGGACGTCGACGCGCCGCCACGCTCCGCCAATGCCTCAATAATCAACCAGTGAACCGCGAGACGGCGCGAGCCGCGTGATCGCCAACAGTGCAGTGCCGTGCCTGGCCGTGCCGCGAGTGCAGTGTGGTGACGACATGAAGTGCGCCGTGCTGCTGGTGGTGGCGCTCGCCGCCCTGGGCGGCCACGCCGTCCCCGCCGACGTCCCGGACAAGCACGGCGTGGCGGTGGACGCGGCCGCCTGCGCCGACGTGCACGGATACTTCGCGGCCAGGAACCTGTCAACGGCCGTCCCGGAATCACCGGTTGATGGTGAGTTTTTGTCATACAGTGGACAGTGGGCCAGAAGACCGGTGGAGCCAAAATCCCGGACGCGTTTTGTGCTCCAGAGTCGCTTAATGGGACTCGAACTAAACGTGTGACCCCACCAATGGATTGCCCTCCGAACGAGGAATCCATTGGTCGGGTCAGACGTGCGATTCAGATCCTGGAGCTCATAACGCGTCTAGAATTTTGGCCGCCGCCACCGGTCTTGGCCCGCTGTGCAGTGCACTCATGGGCGCACTGCATGGCTGCGCTGAAGTAGAGCGTCGTCGCGGTGCGTGTGCGTTTGTGCGCGCTATCAGCATGGCTTTGTACCGCCCTTTATGGCGCGAGCGTGACCGCGAGCGTGACCGGGCCGTGACCGCGAGCGTGACCACGCAGCCAGGTGGGCACACAAGTACATGCCACCTTCAATCAACGGGCCATTCAAACTGGCGCGGCCGTATCGACATGGCCCGGTCTGTCCTCGTCACAGGGGCTAGACCAGCGGTTCCCAACCTTTTTCGGTTCGCGACCCCAAATTTGTAGCCAAAACTTTCCGCGACCCCCAGGAAAAATTTCGCGACCCCACGCGACCCCTCCTTTAGCATGCCTTTGTTACGGAGTGCGATTATCTGCCTTAGTTTGGGAGCAGTATTGCCGCAAAGTTGATCAAAACGGTCACAAATGCCTGAAAAATCGTGTTTTGGGCCGACTTTAAGCATCCACTGCGTCTGATCCGAGGCGGTAAATCGTCCTCCGTCAACGGGCAATTGGTCTTTAGACCTTCCTTTAGCATGCCTTTGTTACGGAGTGCGATTATCTGCCTTAGTTTGGGAGCAGTTTTGCCACAAAGTTGATCAAAACACGATTTTTCAGACATTTGTGACCGTTTTGATCAACTTTGCGGCAAAACTGCTCTCAAACTAAGGCAGATAATCGCACTCCGTAACAAAGGCATGCTAAAGGAAGGCCTAAAGACCAATTGCCCGTTGAGGGATGACGATTTACCGCCTCGGATCAGACGCAGTGGATGCTTAAAGTCGGCCCAAAACACGATTTTTGACAGACATTTGTGACTGTTTAGACCAACTTTGCGGCAGTACTGCTTCCAAACTGAGTCAGATAATTGCACTCCGTAACAAAGGCATGCAAAAGGAAGGTCCAAAGACCAATTGCCCGTTGAGGGAGGGCCATTTACCGCCTCGGATCAGAAGCACTGGATGCTTAAAGTCGACCCAAAACACGATCTTTTACACACATTTGTGACCGTTTTGATCAACTTTGCGGCATTTAAGCAGCCAGTGCTCGGCGTGTGGGCCAGCCGGGACCCCAAGGTTGAAAACCGCTGGGCTAGACCGTCTGTCCTCGTCGCACGGCCGCGGGCCCCGCGGGGGGGTGCGCTTGCGCGGCGCCCAGCCAGACGGGGAGGTGGACTGAGACAGTAGACAGGGGCGGTGGATGTTTTCGCGCTCGTCTCGGGGTTGGCTGGCTGGGGGTGGCGGTGGCGGCCTTGCGGCCGTCATGTGGCCTTGCCTGCCTTGCCTGGCGAGGCGGCCTGCACGGCCTGCCCGACGCCCACCCCACGTGGCCGTCGAACCCCAGGCCCTAGGCCGCCCCGGGGCGCCCGGCTCGGCGACGTGGTACAGCCTGCCTGCCGGCTGATTCCGCACATCGCTGTCGTTGCTCGTTCTCTCTCTCGCAGTCGCGGGCGTCCGAGGGGAGCGAGGGAGACGAACCGGCTCGCGGAATCGCTGTGGGGACTTGGCCGCCGTTTCAAACAGACAGACAGGACGCAAGCCGGGGCCTTGGCTTTGGCGCGCCTCACGCTACGGGGGGCGTGAGCGTCCGCGCCGGTCCGCGCGTCCACGGGGGGCTCTAGGTTCTAGGGCGGCCAGGCCTCGGCCACCTCGGCCAGGCCGGGCTACACGTTACACGTCTAGAGTGTCGCTGTCAGCGTATCGCCGCGCCGCACTGGCCGCCGTCCAATGAGGAGGCTGCTTTCTGGCGGGAAAGCGGAGACTGGCGGGCCGCCGCCGGCGGGAAGTGCATGCGGGTGCAGCTGTCCCGGCGACAGCGTCGCGCAGTGGGTTTGCCGGAAGACCGGTGGAGCCGGCCGAAATCTCGGATGGTGGGGTTACTCCGGGTTACTCGCTTTGTTCGAGTCCCATTTCGCGACTCTGGAGCTCAAAACGCGTGTAGAATTTTGGCTGCTCCACCGGTCTTCTAGCCCACTGTGCGTCGCTAGACTAGGCGTCTCGTCGGCCGCCACGAGTGACTATCTGTCCCGCCGGAGAACGACCGCGACGACGGCGCGTGCTGTCGCGTGACGTCACCCACCGGCTGAGGCAGCCACGCCCGAGGACTGGCAGTGGACTGGCAGTGACAGCCAATAAGGCTGTGCCCGGAACTAAAACAGTGTCAGTCAGCTCATTGTTTTGGATCGGCGCGGCGCGCTCGGCGCGCTCTTCGGCGTAGCGGCGGCGTGCGAGTTTGGACTTGCTCGGCGCGCGGCCTCCAGGGGGTGGCGGGGCGGGGCGGGGCCGGGCGGCCGAACGTGTTGGTTGGAGCGCCCGCCCGCCCAAACCTGGAGACGACAGCAGTGACTCGTCGGAGGTGCAACTCCCTCTGCTCTGCAAACCGGGGTTCCGCTACCTAACTCCAAACCAGCCGAGAGTCGTCGCATCGCATCCGATCGCATCTCAGTGCAACATCACGTCATCATGCAGCAGCATTGCATCGGTGTCATCTGGGAGCGGCACTGGCCGTTTGAACTGACTCCTTACCAAATGTCCGCAGTTCACCTTCGTTGCCCGAACTAGCTAGTTTCTGAGCGAAAAGAAACCCCCCCCCCTCCTCCTTCTCCTCTCTCTCTCTCTCTCTCTCTCTCTCTCTCTCTCTCTCTCTCTCTCTCTCTCTCTCTCTCTCTCTCTCTCTCTCTCTCTCTCTCTCACTCACTCACTCACTCACACACACACACACACACACACACACACACACACACACACACACACACACACACACACACACACCGACGCCTTGGTGCCCATTACTTTCAAGAGTGTAATAGCGCGGCAAATGAATGGATCGGCCAAATTGGCTGTTTGCATATTTTCCACGAGTGTGTCAGTGTATCAGCTGCATCGCCTATGGCGGCGCCGTGTACGCGACGGAGTGAGTGAGTGAGTGAGACGTCTGTTTGCCGAGCGGTCGGTCTTTACTGCCGCTTTTACATACAATCCGAGCCAAGCGCCAATCCAACAAACCGTTCCTCAAACCATCAGCACCTCTTTTGCACAGCTTCATTGCACAACCAGCGAGTCAACGAGTCTCCTGCTGCTGCTGCGATTTCTTTCCTCGAGAGCTTCGAGATTCGGCTCAAGATTATTTTTTTTTGTTTCGCCGATGCATGTCTCGCGGTCCGTCCCGCTGGCGCGTGTGGCTACTTTTAATTATTTCGATGCCGGGATTAATATACCGTCGTTCCGGGAATCCCGCGTTGTAAAATGTTGCACCGAAAACGGGGCAAGACCTCGCCCAGTGTGTGCGTGTGTGTGTGGGGGGGGGGCCTGCATTACAGGGGCATGGTATGGTCAGGGCGGCGGTTGGGGCCTCGCCAGGCTTGGCCAGGCTTCGCATGCTCCGGTATGTCCTCGGCATGCGCCCGGTGAGGAGGGGGGGGGGAGGGGGATTCCGGGGCAGGACACACTGTGCACGAGGGCGGTGTGGACGCGCAGCGACGCGAAGCCTCCGAACTGCTTCTCTCTCCTCCCGCTTGTCCTCCCCGGCCGTCGCCGCTTCTTTCGCCAGCCGATGCCAGCAGACCTGGCCGGGCCGTGCCAAAGGCAGCCAAAGGCAGCCAAAGGCAGCCAAAGGCAGCCAAAGGCAGCCAAAGGCAGCCAAAGGCAGCCAAAGGCAGCCAAAGGCAGCCAGCCGGGCCCGGCCGGCGCGCAGCAAACCGAACATCTATAATTTTAATGCCGCGCAGTTAAGTGGGTTCACTTTGCGGCGACACGAGTGTGTGTGTGTTTGTTTGTGTGTGTGCGTGTGTGAGTGCGCGCTCACTCCGGTATGCCGTTTGCGAATGTCCGAGCCGAGTTGAGCCGAGTCGTGCTGAGCCTGGCCGGGCCGGGCGGCCGGTGCCCGGGCAGGCTGGCGTTGGCTGGCCGGCCGGAGGAGTCATGGCGTCTCCGATGAATAAAATAAATAAAATGAAATGAGCGACGAAAATAAAGAAAGACGGCGGATATGTATGGCGAAGTGTCCCGGGTGGTGCCGTGTGACCGTTGCAGTCGTCGTCCCGGTGGTCCGTGTGAGTCACCGCCGTGCCGTGGGTCACCACGGTGAGGAGTGAGTCACCGGTCACCGTGGATCTCGCATCATGTCGATCGCCAGCCCCAGGCCCCAGGCCGCTCCCTGGTCTCGTCAGCCAGTCCGGGCCTCGGAAGGCTCGGAAGCGCGCGCGGCATTGCCAAAATATTCGGGACGCTTCATATCCGCTGGGCGTGCTTGGCGCATCGTGCCGAGGCTGGGGCCGCGGGGGCCGACGGTCCAGTCGTGGCCAAGAAGTGAATGAGGCTGAGCCGGCAGAGCCGCCGCGCCACGCCACGCCACGCCGGCGTTCGGCGACTCCCAGAAGAGACGGTGTCCACCTCGGTCCACCTCGGCTTCGGCTCGGCGGCCGCCCTCCTCTCCCCCGCACTGGAGGATCACGGAGACGATCGCGACGGGGGCCCACCGGGGCCGCGGCTGGAGCCGCTTGACGACCGACCGTTTTTTGGTCATCAGCGTGACATGTGGCGCGCGTGGGCGGAGAGCCTTTCCATTGGACAAAAAATAAATTTGACAGTTTTTAGAAATTTGCTATTTTTAGCTCATCGTGCTCATGGGCATCTTGCAGGACAGCTCATGGAACCGGCATAGGATCATTCGTGGTCTAGCCTCTCAAGTCAAGCCTTCAGGCCGTCCCGCTGCGCTAGGCTGCGCGCCGGGCTGGCCTACCCGTCGGG